AGCGGGGTGGTGTTGACGTAGTAGAGTGTAAGGGGGGGAGGACTGGTCATGATGATATTGTTTTGAAGTTCTGGTGATGCATATCACGGCTGTGAATTCACGGCTTAGAGTCTTTTCCCAGCTCGATAAATGAGCTGAGCTGATTCAGCAAGATCGGGACATCTGAGGTTGAGCAGTGTTGATCTTGAACCAGAGAAACAAGTTTGGAAAACAACAGAGCCTCGTAAATCATTGAGAGGAGAGCGCCCCAGGTTAAGTCTATTACGTCGGATAGGTATTAATATTCGAATTTTGCTAAGGAGGATGAGAAGTTGGAGGGATAGGATGACATATCTTGGCAGGGGGGCGACTCAGTCCTCTGGTGACTAATACTACAGTGCTACTACAGTGCTACTAGGGAGGCCTCATCATGCAGAGCATAACAATGAGAGAAAATGCAGAACGAGAGTGCCGCAGATTAAATTGTATGAATCACAAGTTGGGGTACGATGTTGCAGGTTCCCCCTTGCCCTCACTCCTTCGATTCTTTATATCCATATGGTCCTCACCGGCCGAACATCCCATCTAAACATAAGTATTAACATCGATTCAAGGCCGGAGGGCAGCAAAGAGTATCCCATCCAGTGCTAGTTCCACCACCATGACGGCGGCCCCAATACTTGTCATGACATGCGGAACGAGCTGCAATTGAATCCTCAGCATCTTTTCCCCTGTTCGCTGTTCTGGGGCCGGACACAAAATTTGGCTGATACTTCTGTTCAAATACATCCTCCAATGAACCATGGTTTGGATGAAAGTGGACATGCACTTGCTTCGCAATCACTGGTTGCCTTGTTTGAGCCGTCCAGGCGTGTTTTGAGGATGCGCCTCCGCTCTTGCCACCCCCCAAATATCTGTACGCTTTAACCTGCAAGTGGACACCGCTCCGCGGTTCCAGGGTGACAAAAATGAGGAACTGTGTAAAGCAGTATGTGCATCTTTGAGCCTTTGCACACTTGGCACATGGGGCTTTCCCCTTCAATGCACACTGGACAGCGGATGCACATTTTTCCTTCAGCCATGTGCCAGAATGTAGGCACCCTTTACCTCTCATGCTTGGAATTTTGGGATTCCCCTTTGCGTCGAGCTTGACATCGATATCGTAGACAACTTTGAGGTACAAATCTCCTTCAATGATCTTAGAGTTGACGCTGAGAGCACATTCTGCGCTTCCGCTACCTGACATACGCCAGGTACAACTATGGGCAAATGGGTCTGACGAACTCGAGGCTTCGGAATCAACACTTCGCCACGATTTCAAGCGAAGCTCGAGCATCTCACGTGTAATACTGAAATGCTTGCATATGCTCACATAGCTAGCAAGATGTCGACAAGGCGGTTTGATCCTATTGTTGCACACAGTCAGGGGTCGACCAGCATGAAGTGGCTGCAGTGTCAGGCAATCGTCGCACAAGATCATATCCGATGAATCTTCTGCAAGCTTCTCAAGAAATCTTTCTCGCTGCTTTAGCCAGTACGCATCCCCTAGGCGAAACTTGTCAAGTGTGTCGATCGTAACAAGCGACCAAAAAGTTGTACATGTCAAGCCAAGGCACATCAAATCCGACGGCTCCAAGAACGATGTGACGACGTGGAAAATGTCCAATGGCAGGTTGAACAGTAGGTGACCGTATCGCTTGTGCGGTTCTCTCATGGTCTCCTCCTCGTCCTCAACCCGCTGTCGCGAATACAGTGGGTTGGACATTCGCTTCAGAAATTGGCTTGCGAGGCAGAGCCATTCACTGACTATATCTCTGGGATTCGAATTAGAAAATATAAGCATAACGATGATGCATAGGTATGTAAAAGAGACGATGGTGAGTGTTTTGGATCCATTGCAGATTGTATCCTGTAGTAACGGTGACGTTGCTGGCAGGAAGATACTCATGTAAAATACATAAGGGGAAGGAGTGACCCATGGCTTGGCGAAAAGCTGAGTCAGGGGGGCGGACATTGCCTGCCCGCCTGGAGTCATGTAACTAACTAGGCACCACCACAGTTCCCTGCTCAATCACATATCCCTCTGTTTCGTTCGTGCGCAATACTGTTACTCACCTAACGGTCATTCTAGCACAACCGTCTCCTGGCCTGCATCATGAGCAGTGGCAGGGGGCTGGTAGGCCTCAGCTAGGACGTCTGTTCAATCAACACCACCCCATTCTTGTGAAGATGTCTAGCATAGCCCTGAAGATTTCTTCCTTGGTAATTCGGACACTTTCCAAGCCAATTGCAGTAAGTGATGCTTTCAGTCTAATTATCGGGCATAGTACTCACGCGATACAGAATCTGATCAAGCGGCAAGCTCGGGAACATGAAGGCTTTAGGCGCACATGCATATCCTTTGCCCAGGCTTTACATCGGGTGGACATGCGACTGCGACTAGGTGTGCTTAGGGATACGGCTGCTATTGAGAAACAAGCTGCAAGAGAAGCTGCAGATGCTGCAGCGAAGAAACATAAGCATTCGATACCAACCGTGAAAACAGAGGCGCAGACTCTTGCAGAGGAGAAAGCTGCAAAAGAAAAGACCAAATCTCCTGATCTGCCAAAACCTGCTTCGATACTAAGAATTCGGCCCTTGTCGGAAGCGAAAGCAATCGAGTCAGGGGCAACATTCATTAGCGAGGCGTTCCTCTTCGGCGTTGCTGGGAGTCTGATCCTTTTCGAGTCGTGGAGGTCTCGACGGAAAGAGAACACCAGAAGAGAAGACGTTGCTGAGCGGCTGAGTGATCTTGAGGAGTCGGAGAGGACAGCGCGAAGAGCATTAGTTGAACTTGAAAGAGAAGTTTTGGCTTTGAGAGCCAAGCATGGGAAACCTTCTACCAAGCCTGTGAAGCGCATTCTGCCGGCAGAGATATGGATGCAAGAGGAGAAGGATGACGAGGAGGATGTGACGAAAAGTCAGGGTTGGCTATCACGTATATCATCCTATATCTTTTGGAAAAGGGATGGCGCTGGAGAAGCCGAAGGAATGAGAGAGACTGGACCGGCAGAGAAGATATTGGCTGCTTCGGATGCAGCGTTGGCTGCGAAGCACCAACAAGCCTTAGAACAAGCAGCAGCAAAAGTAAGTATGAATAACGAAACGGAAAAAAGGACAGCTTAAACACAGTACACTGCATGAAGGCACACTGCCATCTACACTCTGTCCAGCTATCCAGATCGGATCTTTGATAGAGATCATTGGTCGTCTGCCTCATCTCACCTCATTAGAATAAAATACCCTACTTCATATTCAGGCTGTCAGTCTGCTCTCATGTTCTGCTCTAGCCTTCGCAAACGTCCACTATGGAAAACTCTTGGGCCTCTCGTGGCTACTACTTCACCCGCCAGGCTCCAAGGTAATGGTGCAATTTGGTTACTGGACGCTTCTAATTGCCGTAGAATCGAACCTCGAAACCCATGATCTTGCTCTACCTTTGTCGTTGGGACACCAAGAATCTCACTGTCCAATCTTGGTCCTTACTCCTGCAAATATGGTTGAAGCAGACCTTTCCGATACCAAGGCTCGGATTCAGCAGTTTGTAGCGGTCAAAAAGGAGCAACATCATATCATCACGCTTATTCTGAAGGTCGAGCACGATGAGCATTCATTCCCCAACGGCCTGGAAGGTTTTACGCAGCTACAGACACTGTGTGTATGGTCCCCGCTCCTACTGATTGCAATCTCGCTGACCTTTTCTCTAGACTTTTCGAGATCAATATCTCATGCCCTGTTCTTCCTGTCTTAGACGTCTCTTCTCTGTCTACGATGCTAAAAGAGTATTTGAATGGAATCCAACCAGCCACGCGTCCGGTGTATAGGGCGCCAGTAGTGACCAATTTGATCGCGCAAGCTGCTGCGAGTGCCCCAGCGAAACCACTTTCGGAGCACGACGCCAACGTTGTGTCTGACATCTTCTCCTCTCTACAGGACTTTGAAGAAGCGACCAGAACTCAGCAGGGACACGCGAAACTTTATAATTTCCTTGACAGGACTACGGCGGAAGATGTGATCGACTTCTGGGCAGATGAGTGGGTAGTGTAGAAAGTAGATGCAATGCGCACACTTGCGTTCCACGGAAATATGCTAAGATGAGGAGTTGGCCTTTATGAGCTTTATAATCCTCTTGAAGCGCAGGAAAAGTCGTGCAGATGGCAAATTGGCTTGCGTGGCCTCGGTGGATACTCAGACAACTGCGCCTCAAACTCCCCATTGCTATTGCCACGACCCCGACCCCATGAACGGTGACAGAATAAAAGAGACACGAAACCACTTTTCTGACTAGAGACCCTGACCATGAATTCTGGTAGCAAGCATGCGCCCATTCCGTCAGATTGATTGACAGTCTTGGCTAACCTACGCAATGTTTAGAGGCTGACAGCGCGTACAAATTCATAACCTTTGACTTCTATCCTTACCCGAGTCCTTTAATACTTTGATGTCTCCACGTGCACACGGTATACTCGTTCGTGGTGTAGATATTTAATGAAGACATAGCATCCGAATAACTCGGCTTACTGCATGCCAACACTACAGCAGAACCAGATAGGATGGTGGGTTGTCGCAAGAATACCAAGTTGGATGCCCGGACTCACATTTGGAATAGGTACAAACGAAGCGACGCGAAGGGAAGTCTTCAAGAACGCCAAAAGCCTCCCTCTTTGGTGGAGGGAAATCACGGGGCGGAGATGGGGGACAACCACAAATCAAGAAAGCCACATTCGAGATCACGAAGAAGAAAGAGGTTGGAGTGTCAGATCTGACGCTACTGAGCAAAGTGTCGAATGAGGCTATCAATGAGAACTTGAAGAAACGCTTTGAGCATGGGGATATCTACGTTCGTCAAGCAAGCATGGTTTCCTCGCGGAATTGGGCTGATGCTGGATTATAGACTTACATTGGCCATGTGCTGGTCTCTGTCAATCCCTTTCGAGACTGTAAGTCGCCCAGGAGACGTTGTAGACGGCGGAACTGATCAAACACAGTGGGCATATATACAGAACAGGTGTTGGATTCATACAAAGGGCGAAACAGGCTGGAAGTGCCTCCTCACGTTTTCGCCGTGGCAGAATCTGCATACTACAACATGAAGGCATACAAGGACAACCAATGCGTAATAATATCAGGGGAGTCTGGTGCAGGCAAGACGGAGGCTGCGAAACGATTAATGCAGTATATTGCAAGCGTGTCAGGAGGAAGCGACTCTTCCATACAGAGGACGAAAGATATGGTATTAGCTACAAATCCACTGTTGGAGTCGTTTGGAAATGCGAAAACACTGCGAAATAACAACTCATCCCGGTTCGGAAAGTATTTGGAGTTGGAGTTCAATGAGCAGGGAGAGCCGGTCGGCGCAAAGATCACCAATTATTTGCTCGAGAAATCGAGAGTGGTTGGACAAATCACTAATGAACGCAACTTCCACATTTTCTATCAATTCACGAAAGCTGCGTCAAAGGAGTACAGGGAAATCTTTGGAGTCCAGCAGCCGCAGTCCTACGTCTACACGAGCCGATCAAAATGCTTCGACGTGCCGGGGATTAACGACGCCTCAGACTTCCAAGAAACGCTAGATGCTATGAAAATCATCGGGCTCTCCAAAGCCGAACAAGACGACATTTTCCGCATGCTTGCTGCCATTCTGTGGATTGGAAACATCACCTTTCGAGAAAACGATCAAGGCGGAGTTGATATCACAGATCAGTCGGTTGTTGATTTTGTTGCTTACCTGCTGGAAGTGGAATCTGCAAATGTTAACAAAGCTCTCACAGTGCGAATAGTGGAGACTGCTCGAGGCGGTGGCAGGAGAGGATCAGTCTATGAATCACCACTGAATCCCGTGCAGGCTGCAGCAGTACGTGACGCTTTGGCAAAAGCGGTATATTTCAATCTTTTCGATTGGATCGTTCAGCGGACGAATGTTTCCTTACAAGCACAAGGAACAGTCAAGAATACTGTTGGGATTCTTGATATTTATGGGTTTGAAATCTTCGAGAAGAATTCCTTCGAGCAACTGTGCATCAATTATGTCAATGAGAAGCTACAGCAGATCTTTATCCAATTGACACTGAAGACTGAGCAAGAAGAATATGCCCGAGAACAGATCCAGTGGACTCCAATCAAGTACTTCGACAATAAGGTTGTCTGTCAATTAATTGAGGAAAAGAAGCCGCCTGGTGTTTTCGCTGCTCTGAACGATGCTTGTGCAACTGCTCACGCTGATTCTGGTGCCGCCGACCAAACATTTGTTAGAAGGTTGAATTTTCTATCTCAGAATCCACATTTCGAGAATCGCCAGGGACAATTCATCATCAAACACTATGCTGGTGACGTGAGCTACGCGGTGCCAGGAATGACGGACAAAAACAAAGACCAGCTACTCAAAGATTTACTGAATCTTATCGGCGAGAGCTCTAACTCCTTCGTCCACGAAATTTTCCCTCATCAGGTCAACCAAGACGACAAAAGGCGGCCGCCAACCGCTGGAGACAAGATTAAAGCGTCTGCAAATGAGCTTGTAGATACGTTGATGAAAGCCCAGCCATCCTACATCCGAACGATCAAACCAAACGACAATAAGTCGCCGTCAGAGTACAATGAAGCCAATGTCATGCATCAGATCAAGTACCTAGGTCTACAGGAAAATGTCCGGATTCGAAGGGCAGGTTTCGCCTACAGACAGACGTTTGACAAGTTCGTGGAACGATTTGCTCTGCTCTCTCCACGGCTTTCATATGCAGGGGAGTATACATATACTGGTGATGTCAAATCTGCATCAAAGATAATCTTCAAGGATACAAGTATACCGGAGGAAGAGTACCAGATGGGTGTGACAAAAGCGTTCATAAAAACACCCGAAACGCTGTTTGGGCTAGAACATATGAGAGATCGGTACTGGCACAACATGGCAGTCAGGATCCAAAGAGCATGGCGAAACTATCTTAGGTACAGGATAGAGTGTGCGACGAGGATACAGCGGTTCTGGCGACGGGTGAAAGGCGGTATTAAGGAGATCGAATTTCGGGATCAGGGTCACCGAATATTGCAGCAAAGAAAAGAACGCCGACGGTACTCTCTACTGGGCTCAAGACGATTCTTTGGTGATTACCTTGGCCTCAACATGCCTGGTGGAACTGGTCGTCTGATCCGCGACTCAGTTAATCTTGGTGGCCAGGAACGATGCGTCTTCTCATGTCGCTGTGAGCTACTTGTCACCAAATTCGGTCGCTCTTCGAAACGGGAACCTCGAATACTGCTCCTTACGGCCAAGGCAGTATACATTGTTGTTCAAAACATTGTGAACAATTCTCTTAACATATCTTCGGAACGCACCATTCCCATTGGAGCAGTCAAGTACATCAGCTGCTCGACATTGAAGGACGATTGGTTCTCTCTTGGTATCGGCTCGCCTCAGGAGCCTGACCCGCTTCTCAACTGTCCTTTCAAGACCGAATTCTTCTTGCAATTCAGAACAGTCTCTCATGGTAGCTTCAACCTCAGAATTGGGGATAGCATCGAGTACAACAAAAAGCCTGGCAAGCCTGCTACAGTCAAGGTTATGAAAGATCCAGCTGTGCCACGAGACGACGTATACAAGTCTGGCACCATCCACACCAACCAAGGAGAACCGCCCAACTCTGTCTCAAGGCCAACACCAAGGGGCAAAGCCATTGCCAGACCAATCACAAGCGGCAAACTCCTTCGAAAAGGTGGGCCAGGTGGTCAAACGACCAAGATGGCATCTCGTCCTCGTCCAACTCCCGCAGCCACCACGCAAAGGGCTGTTCCTACACCAGCCGCAGTCAACAGACCTGTTGCGCAACTTAATGGTGACCCAGGCCATTCACGTACCTCCTCTGCCGTTTCAGCAAGCAGAATACCACCTCCTCCACCCCCTGCACCTCCAGCAGCTGCACCAGGTAAACCGCAAGCAAAAGTAAAATACGACTTTCAAAGCCCAAACTCGAACGAGCTGTCCATAGTCGCGGGCGAGACGCTGGAGATCCTAAAGAAAGAAGGAAATGGTAAGTGTCCTTTTCAAGGCCGCCCCTCCCAGCACGCCATTGACAATTCTTCACAGGATGGTGGCTCTGCCTCAACCCTGCCACCTCAGACCAGGGCTGGGCTCCCTCCACCTACGTCGAAGAAATCGCCCCCGAACCCGAGCAGACACGTGCTCCGCCGCCTCCTCCCCCACCCCCAGCTGCACCCCGTCCAACCCCCAACAACATTCCCTCAGCCCATTCCGCAGTCACGAACGGCATGCCCAAGACCGCAAACCCTCCCCTGACAACGGCAAACACGAAAGCAAAACTGAAACCTACGCCGCCAGCACCCCCAGCAAAGAGACCGACAGGAGCAGCAGCCGCAGCCGGGGGAAGGAAACCCCTGCCTCCACCCACCCCGGCGAGGGACAGCGCCGTCAGTCTGACCACGCCGTCCGGAGGCGATAGCGGGAGAGCGACGCCGAACAGCATGAAAGGCGCCACGGGAGGGGGCAGTCTGGCGGGTGGCTTGGCAGAAGCCTTACGCGCGAGACAGAGCGCCATGAATGGTGGTGGGGCAGGAAGGGGGACGAGGATGATGATTGGTAGTCGTCAGTCCTGTGGTCGATTTCTGTGAGAACCCTGTCCAGGTTTTTTCGTTGGTGAGGAAAGGTTGCGGACGGGTGGGAAATGGGATGGGTGCAAGGGTAATTTTGGTAAAGAAGGAATTTAGGTTGTTTTTTTTCTCTCTGCCGTGTGGCTTCTGAGCGCTGCGGCAGGGGCAAGATGGCGAGAGTATTAACTTGCGCTTGATGCCTACTACTGATCGCGTCTGGTAACGATGGCGTTTTTTCGATAGGGGATGCCGCCTCGAATGTGAATGGCCGAAGTGCCTCATTACCGCATCTAGCTCTCTTTTTCACAATCAATCTGTCTATTCGGTTTCCTCTTCAAGCCAACTGCTTCCTTATAGGGTCCCGTTAGTTGAACGAGCCTGAACTACAGCGTAGCTGTACTATACCGTCCCACGCGCGACCTACTCAATCTGGCCAATTTATCATTTCCAGCACATAGGCTCAACGGCCCCAGGACTCCCGTATCTTCTGCCTCCTCGCCCAACTCCAACTCCCCACTCCCAAGAATCCAAGACCACCCCTCCACTCCCCCGATATATCTCCCATCGGCTCGTTTCCCCCCTCCCCCTCCCACCTAACTCAGTACCCGTGTTTCCTATCCACCAGATTCACCAACCAGACCCCGCTCTCCCTGCGGCGCAGATTCTCCACCAGCACCCCACCCAGCGCCCTCTCCAGATAATCCGCCGTCAACGCGCTCATATGCGGCGTCAAGACCACATTCTCCATGTCCCACAGCTCCGAGGCCGGGGGCAGGGGTTCCGGGTCCGTGACGTCGAGGGCGGCGCCGGAGAGCTGGGCGGTTTTCAGCGCGTGGATCAGGCTGGGTTGGTGGATGATGGCGCCGCGGGGGAGGTGTTGATTAGCAATGGTCCTAGGGTTGCTGACTGGCTTTGACGGTGGGAAAGGAGGTCCCATTCCTCTTTTCCGAACATGCCGCGCGTAGATGGGGTGAGCGGGAGGGAAATGGCCAGGATATCGAGGTCTTGGGATAGGAATGTGTGGAGGTCGGACTTGGTGGTGCCGGAATACCAGGCCGTGGGGAGGGTGCCGTCCGGGTCGCCGAGGTGCGGGAGGTGGTAACCTTTATCCGCTCGGGAGGAGGGGGTCGGGCGTGGAGACGAGGTGTAGGCGTATATTTGGCAGCCGAGGGAGGTGAAGACGCGCGCGACTTTGTGTGGGTTAATATTTCGGGATTTCTGATAAGAGATATTTTGGTCTGGCGGATTCGGGAAGATGTTTACTGACATTGTCTCCCTATACTTCCATATCCGGCAATTCCTACTTTCTTTCCAACCAAGTCAGATGCCTGGGGGAAGTCTTTATGGGGTGTGCCCCATTTGTGCTGCTTTTGCAATTCGTACATCTTTTTGTAGCTTTTGGAGAGGACGAGGGTGCTCATCAGGATCCACTCTGAAATTGTGGGGCCGTGGATGCCGGATGAAGTGGTGATGGGAATATTGGTTTGAGTGAATAGCGGGTGGCTGACAAAATGGTCGATGCCGGCGGAGAGTAGGTGGATCAGATTGAGGCTAGCATAGTGGTTAGGAGCTCATCACAAGGTGCATATGTTGGGTTTCTGAACAGATAGAGCTCCATATAATATGATGCAGAAAAGAACGAAGACAACCTACTTAGGGGCATCCTCAGGGGTTGATGGAAAGGATCCAAATGTAGCGAGGATGGTCGTGTCTTTGAATAAATCTGGCCACGACTGTTGGGTAAGCGATGACTCTGCTTCTTCCCGAGGTTTGAAGCAACCTTACAGATGCTAGCATAGGGAGTAAAGAGAAACGACAAGCGAAGTAGGGATCGTGTAGGTTGAGGTTCGAGATTGATGGATTCAAAGAAACAAACCTTTGGGTAAGCCTTGTTCGGCTTCGAAGGACCAGTTGGTTTGCGTCAATTGGTGGTACTTGACATCGACATAAGGGAATCTTTTTCTAATGTTCTCCGTAATGGCTTTATCTTCTGGAAAAGGAAGGATGATTAAGAGGTTTTCTCTCGGCATGCCGCCTCCCATATTGAAATATTCAATGTTGGCGACACCAAGATGGAGACTGAAAGATGTCCTTACTCCAGCTGTAACAAAAATACGGTGCTACCCAGAAATACAACTCGGTTCGAGCTTCACGAAGGTGCGCAGGAAGCGGACGCTAACTTTGACCAGTCGAACTGTAAGTGATGAATGTTTCGCGTTATTTATCGATCCACAGGACATACGTAGTAAGGGTTTTATAGCTGGAGATTCCAGCTTAGTCATTGTGCGAAGCTTTTTGACGTCTTGATAGATGCTGAGTTATCAGCTACTGGCGTAAGCTCTAAGTTACACCTCAAGCCACGCTGACATGACAAGAGACCCACATGTTCTGCAAGATGCTTAGGGAAAAGCGAAGATATTAATTGACCATTTCATCTATGCATCTGCTGGCACAAGTCTAAACGGTTTCTGGTACAAGATTAGCACAACAACCGTGGGGGTGAGTCCTCCGCCCTTTGTGATATGTGCTACAGAGAGTGGAATTGACTCCAAGAGCCTGTCTTCAAGTTCGGTCTTCTCTTTGACCCGCGCCATATACTGGTAGCGTTCGCTGATAGACTGTGCAACTGCACCATATCTAGTGGTTGAAGCCGTCACTGCTTGGAAAGCCCAGTTCCATCCTTCAACCGAACAGCACCTATGCACTTGAATAATGACGTTGGAAGCTGGTTCAGTCGCAGACGATGTCTTATCGAAGCACGTAGCATGCTCAAGAACACAACTCTTGGCGCGATGATACCGTGTCATGTCCGTTTTTGCCCATATGCTGCTGCCAATTAAAATTACAAACGATGAACACCCTCATTCGCTGGACTGCTTCTCACGCCTCCTACGCAGCAGTTCTGACAGTGGTATGTCATCTTGGTCGTAGAATTCCGTGTCCTCATCCACGCCATAATCTCGAAGCCTATCTCCTTCTGGACTTCTCCAACCTTCTTCTCCGGAATTAGTTCGTGAGTCGGTGCTTTGATCGTCTGTTTCAACATCACTTTGCTCGACATATGATCCGCTGGCGTGACGATTGTGAAAAGGCTTCCGTCGAATGATGCCGACATTGCCAATTCGACGCTTCAGATCATCCTCTTGCCGCTTCTTGAACGCCTGGATCTCTTCGCGGTCAGACAAAGGCGTCTGTTGGTAGACAAAGGGTTTGCTCTCATTAAGGGATCGATTCAATCTAGGTATGCGGTCTGGATCCGGTGGTGGCCAACTATGCATCGGCTCGTCGAAACCGTTGACCTCAAACCCCAGGCCACCGCTGCTTGGAGTAGTAGCGAAGGGCCAGAACCACGCAAAAATGTTCCCACTGTTCATGCCTTGTTTGATATTGGCCCATATTCCAATATCGTATGGAAATTCTTGTCTTTCGATTTTGACCTTGATACCATCAGGTCCATCAAGATAGCCGCCGAATATTCGTGCTCGCCGTAGTAGTTTTGTGTGTCTCGCTATTTCCCAACTTTCAATTGTTGTGACGTTCCCACCAAGACTCCATGTGGTGCGCACCAACATGACAAAAAGCATAAATAAGGTGAAAGAATTCACTGTGGCCAAAATGAACAAGTGTACTAACTGGCCTGCATTTGGTCCAAGATACTAAAAACATCAGTGCTTGACCTTAGTTGATGGATGGCGTATACGGACGCTTGGCATTGTGCGGTTGTTCCAAATAACTGCACCACGTACGTAAAGGAAATACTCAAGATAGAGCATTGATGCCACAGAATAGAACAGAAACCGAATGAAATGGGGAAAGGTAAAGTAGGAGACACAGTTGTTTGTCCATGGACAATGATGGTCCATCTTAGGTATGCACCTGTTCCATCAGTTTCAGTCGAATCATAGAGAGCGCGGACACAAGACAAACTTTGCACAGATCTTACAATGGTGCGCTCTCGGAGGCTTCGTCACCTCACATTTCCGGCACCATCTGCTTTTTGTTACACCGGCTTCAGACGGCACTTCCTGCTGCTTTCCATCGCTCGAAGTTTGTGGCGTCCATCCCTGAGGGACATCTCCTGGATTGGTCTTGCATGCCCTGGCGTAGCATATCCAGATGCACAAAACGAGGCTGTTAAACTTCAATACCTCAATCCAGGTGAGTGGACCAGGGTCCAAATACAGAAAAAGAAGCTGCGATGAATAAGCCAGAAACGATATAAGGAGACAAACGCTCGGAATGGCTAAATCTCTGATATCGAAATCGGCCATCAATGGTCTAGCATAGACCTCTACTTCCAGGTAGTGATGGCGCTGGCGGTGGCAATAGCAATGGAAGGCCGCTGTTCCCGCCAGCATCATGCCAAGCCTTGACGCGCTTGGTGCCTAACACCCGCGACGACGCGTTCAGGAAGAAAGTTCTTCCAGACTTCCCCAGCATGTCCTTCACCATGATCTCCAAAGAGCTGGACATTCTTATTCTTGCAGTTACAGTTGTTTCGTTATTCTTTCATATGTTCTCCTTATATCATTCTTATTCATTCTTAGCATTGATATGCCAATTAAACCACTTTCTGATTCTGATATTCGTGCTATCGGTTCTTCTCTTGTACTCAATGACGCTCGTTCGGTGATTAAGGAACTCGTTGATAATGCTCTTGATGCTCATGCAAACACTATTTCAATTGAAGTATCTGCCAACACTGTAGACGTTATCCAGGTCAAAGACAACGGATCTGGAATCGGTGATGAGGACCGACACTTACTTTGCAAACGAGGATGCACAAGCAAGATCAGAACAATCCAGGACCTCGAGAATTTGGGTGGAACTTCGCTTGGCTTCAGAGGGGAAGCACTCGCCAGCCTTACCGGATTGAGCAATGCAGTTCTGGTGACGACCAGGATTGATGGGGAGTCTGTAGGTTCTGCATTCAAGTTTGGGCCAAATGGGAAGCTTTTGAGGCAAGGCTTAGCTTCCCAAGATGAAGATCTCGGACTTATTTTCTTGTAGCACTTCACCAGCATCACATCCAGTCGGGACTACTGTGAGAGTCCAAGATCTCCTCAAAACCATCCCTGTCAGACGACAAACAGCGTTGAAAGCTACATCAAGGACCCTTTCCGACATCAAGAAGATCTTGCAGGCCTATGCATTCGCTCGCTCAAATGTCAGAATCTCTTTCAAGGTGCTAGGCGGGAAGAATGACAAGTACAACTGGACTTACGGTCCAACGCCTGGGACGTCTCTCCTCGCGGCAACTGCCAAAATTGTGGGCCAAGAAGTTGCGGCGCAATGTGAAGCGAGGTCCTGGGCATCGAATCCTGGGAATGAAGGAGAGAAGTCTTACATCATTGATGCTGTAGTTTCAACGGGGGAGGGTGGTAGGGTGAGGAACAACCTGCAAAATAACTGCTAACTTTTGATCAGATCCGATCAGGGTGGGGAGCAAGGGTCACTTTATCTCCATAGACGGTCGTCCAATATCCACAACAAGAGGCATGTTTAAGGACTTCGTCAAGCTCTACAAGTCCTACTATAACAACTGGATATCCAGAGTCAGGTCGACAGATTGTTCCGTTGATCCTTTTCTATGCCTCCATCTACTATGTCCGACAGGCACATATGATGTGAACATTGAGCCTGCGAAAGATGAAGTCTTATTTACAGGCACCAAAAATGTTGGGGATCTGCTAGAAGACTTCTTGAAAAGCGTGTACGGAGACCTTCCTGAAAAGATCAATCAACTGGGTCCGAAGAGCGATGGGGGTATTCTTAATACCTCTGATGGCCAATCTTTCCAGCTTTTGTTAGCCAAGAAGGACCCCTCGTCAATTAACAGACTCAATCATGCTTTCAAGCGGAATGATAGTGCTGATGTGGTCAAAGAGACGAATGGAGAACAGAAGCTGGAGCTTGACAACCAGAGTTCTGCAGCATATCAGGTTCTCGAGTCTGATCATGCTAGACAAGATAAGCCACCTTCCGATACTGTGTCAGGTGCCGAGGCAAGGTCTCATCGTAACATGTATGACTTTGATGAGGACGACCTTGGCACAATGGAGCCTGGTCTGTCTCCAGAACAGAGTCCCATTGATGAGGCGGATGAAGCAGAGTTGAGGAAGGCATCTGTTACGAATCCGTGGACAATCGCGAAGCTCAATACACCAGTAACATCCACCACAGGGTTCACCACAAACATGAGCGCCAGGAACAGCAACGAGCAATTGATGACACCTGGGCCTGAACGCAGATCAAACAATCTGTTCTCAACCTCTCATAGGAAGCCTCTTGTCACACCAACCAATCTGCCAAGCCCTGCCAGATCTGAATCATCACGATCGCCTCCATTCTACCAAAACCCCGGTCCTCCACCTAGGAGGAGAGCGCCAATTCATCGAGTTGAAGAAGATGAAATCGAGTTCACACAGGAACCAACAACTGAAGACCGTGCACGTCCTCGTCCTTCCTTCTTGGAGTTATGGGCCAAGAAGAAGCCTCACAAAGCCGACCTCCCATCTTTGCAACAGGCCCCAGAAACGACTAACGTGAATCATTGCTTAGTAGCTCACCATGACAATGAGGGGTCTGACCACACGCCTACAGAGTTACAATCGACACAGCTGACGGAGCCGGTGGACATTGCGGTTTCGATAGTGCAGTCTGGAAGCGGTCTCCTTAAGCCGTTCATTCCACCTTTTAGGACCCCTGAAAGATCGCCTACGCTTCATCCACCCTTGAAGCTCACTCCTACCGGGCCAACTCACCCAGAGCAACAGTCTCCAACACGGCAACCCTGGGGGTGGAGCCAAGACGACAGACGAAGCACAAGTCCTGTCTCTCATGGCCATCCTCCGCCACTTTCTCAATCTCACCAGCATCCAATGGCTTCACCTCCGATACTACAACCGTCGCCACCTCAGTTGCTGAGGTCATCAAGGCAAGCCATCCATACGCCGCATCCCGACCTAGAAGAGATAATGGACTTTGAGCATCGCAAGAAGGCAGTGAATGCAGAACGAAGGAGACAAACCAAGTTGACGAACAGGTACCTCAACCCAGGGCAGCTAGCACAGATACAGCGAGACTCAACGGCCTCCTTGCCGGCGCCAGATCGTGATTTGTCTTCTCCAGGCCCGTCTCGGAACCATCCAGCATCAAGTGTCAACCTCAGAGACGAGAGGAAGATCTCTTACAATCCCGCGAAACCTATCAGCCACAGCCCTACCAAACCCCCCTTGCCATGCGACCAGGAACTAGCACCAGATAATCCAGCACAAAAGCAAAGCCCCCATCAGAACCGCTACCAAGCCGCAAAAGCTGTACTCGCACCATCCAAATCACCTACCGCACTCTCTCATGCTCATGCGCTTGAAGAGCAAAATTCTATTCGCGAAGACACAGATTCAGCCGAAACCTTACCTCCTCTCGCCGAAGACGATCCAAGAGCCTACCTCATCCAACACCGCGGCGCTACGCGGACTCATAGCAATGGACACAATCCCACCTCGAACCCTGAAATAAGCCGTACAGGCCTCAAACTCAAACGCACCAAAACTTCCAAACTGCCCTTGGAGACCATTCCCTCCAAATCAGCGATACACAACATTTCCGCGAAACCTTTGATCCTGTTCGCAGGATTACAGAACCTCAAAGCACAGATTCGCGAGCTTGGCAAAGTGGATGCCTACCCTAGGACGGGGAACAATGAGTTCATGATCTGGAATGCTAACAGTAAGGATGTTGATGCTTGGGAGGATAAGATGAGGGATTTGGTAAGAGAGAGATACGTCGTGAGGCTGGGTGGGGATGGAGAGGAGGTACCGGCTAATCTGCAGTTGAGGCTAGGAACTGTGCTGAGGGCGCATTGTGAGGAGTTGACTTGATTTGACCTGAAGATCTGTCTCTTATCCCTTTGTGTTGATGCTGGCAATGTCAGTAGGTAAGTGGCTGGCTGGCAGGTGGGGAGAGATCTAATCATGCTCAACGCAAGTAATGTATGGACGGATGTACGCATATGCCGAAGGAAGACGAAAGACAGATGACGCATGATTTATGGCTCGAGCGGTTGCATTTGAGTTTGTGCTTCACGCGCTCCAATTGTTGTTGTTGTTGTTGTTGTTGTTGTTGTCGTCGTCGTTGATCAGAAAATGACCATGTAAACAGTAATGCATACTCCAGATAATCACGGATCATAATTAACTACATGAACCACAACAGCAATATAGCTCTACTTAGAGCTTCCAACCTAGATAGATAGCCGGAAGACTCGTCATCCAACAGCTTCAACGCCAGCTCATGTAGCTTTTTCTTAAACTTGAAAATCAGAGCATCTAAGCTCCCATTCATTCATTATTATCATGGTCAGAGCGTATTTAGGAGAAAGTGTCCTGGAAGCTCATTGCGGTAACCAAGGACCGCATTGATACCCACCCTGACTGTGTATGTTGCAGAGGTGAGTTCTGGAACTAGTATGGGGCACTATCTACGGAATGTCTCGGTGGCGGTACATTCAGAGCGGTACATTCGGCGAGCGGTACATTCGGCGTTTGGAATTCCTTGGGCTCTTGGCGTGACTCCACAGTAGTAATTTGTATGCAGCATTCCTGCCCTAATCCCACATACTGCCATTCCTCTGATACTGTTTATTTGTGCTCGCTCTTGCTTCCCAAGTAGGTATTGAGATAGATATCCTTGGTGTTGTGAATTATCGTCATGGCCACCACCACTGCCTGGACTGCTCATCCTCACTGCCCTGCTCATCTTCGTGGCGAGGTTAAATCTCGCGTTAGAGCCTTTCCCCCGTTATATCTAGTTGAGCCTACCAATGATGAGGTCTTTGACAATGTAGACCTCTGTCAGGAGCGTCTGCAGGCGTATGCTTTTGCTCAGGGTTTTTTGATTGTACGCAAGAGTAGTAGTATGAAGCAGGCTTGTCCACGCTTCTATTTCTATTGTATCTATTACGGAGTTTCAGCAGATAATTGGAGGCATCTAAAGGAGCATGTTGAAAGGGATAAGGAAAACGAGATAACTAGTTAACGTAAGCGAGATAGAACAATTATTAATGTAAGGAACTGCCTTTATTATATTTATCTTGCTTTTAAGCAGATAGGTAAGTATGAATCTAGCGAATTCGGCCTTGTACTAAGTGTTAAAAATAATACTTATAGCTATACTATAGCAGTAAATCTGTTAGTATATTTAGAGCACAAAAAGATGCTTTTAGGATATTAGTCTATTCTAGAGTTAAATAGGTCTCTGCAATCAGCTTATATCTTATATTTCACAGCTTAGAAAGTACTTAAACAAATTAGGTTTCCGCTTAATTAAAAGAGTTATTATAATCTTTGCTATTAAACGCTTTCTGCTAAGAAAGATGAGTTTACTAGTCTTATTATTACTCTTAAGGATACTGGTTTCATTTTTAATTATTATATAAAGAAGAAAATTAAAAAAATTAAGGTTATTAATACTTAGTTATAACAAATATAATTTACTTATCTTGATTAAATTTGATATACTTAACGCTTTATAATAGATTAGACTCTCTTTATTAATAATATATTTAATATAAATGCTTAAAATCTAGTTCTCTTAATTATAATTAATATAACTAATTATAATAAGACCTTTATTACTACCTTATTATTTACTTATTTAAAATTAAAGATATTATTTAATTTTATTTTCTTAAGCCTTAAATAATATGTTTTTTATTATCTGATCCCTTTACCTTATTTAATACTTAGTAAATAAGCAGCTAATATAATAGCATTGTTTTCTATAGCTCTTCTAAACGTAATTCTGTAATACTATAATTAGTATATTATAAAGAACGTTATAAAGTATCTTATAAATTATAAATATAAGAAAGAGGCTTAAGAGGAGCTAAGAGATGCCTTATAATATTTTATTAAGAGTTATATACAGAAAGAGCTTGTAAAGCACTAGCAAGAGTTACATTTTTATTAAGGCTTAACTAGTTGAGACAAGTCTTAACTAGAAGCTGAGTCTAAAGGATTAATTAGGTAGAACAGGAAGTGCAGTAAATAATACTAAGATGTCTTCAACTTAGGTATAAGCTGATAATATGAGTTGACTACAAAGACTATGAAACTATCTAGGAAATAAGCGTGCTTATATAGGCTAAGAGATTCGTGCTACTTATTTATGAGCGCTCATAAGCGTTACTCATTAGTCCCTCCTTATAAACACCTTGCTTAAGGTTGTCTCTGTATAAGCGTGTCCTCTTGCTAAGCCCTTTAGGCTTAATTAGTTCTAGAGTCTTCTTATATAGGGTCTGTATAGCCTCTAAGGCTTATTAGTGCTTAATATATTTATATATTATAATATTATTCTTTTTTCTTTTTAGCTTAGTCTTATAAGCTAAAAGAGTATATTATAACTTCTTAAGATTTTTTAAATTTTTTTTATAATATCTTTATTTAAATCTTATATTAGTAAATTAAAGTCTTATATTTAATATTATATGGGCCAAGAAGAAGCCT